GAGGCAGTATCACTATGGAAGTAGATTGCCCAACCTTCCTTCCGAGGAGTGGCTGGTGGGTTTGAACCGCCAGCCTTCTGGTCAGCAGTCAGGTGCCTTAGGCACTGCGCTGCCTCCAGATCAGAGGCAACTTTCAAGCCAGGCAGAGAGGAAGTTATGATTAACTCTGGCTGGGGCAGGGCAGGCACTGGGGGAGGCTGGGAAGAGGAAGTGGCTTTGAGCCTATGGGGTCTTGTCCAGGGGCAGAGAAAGGGGAGGAGCCGCAACTGAGTAACTGGTCACTAGGGGACACTGACCTGGTGCACAGTCCATATATACTTATCTCATTTAGTTCTCTTATCAACCCTGAGAGGCAGGCACCAGTGTCATCCTGGTTCTTTATATCATTTTATTTTTATTGTGATTTGGGTGAAAGTTTATAGAGCAGATTCATTTTCCATACAGCAGTTCATACATTTTGTTTCATGACATTGACTGAAATCCCTCCAATGTAACAGCTCTCTTCCCACTTCCTCCCTGTAGTTAGTTACCTCTTCCCTGTGGCCTTTCCTGTGCATTCCTGCCCCCCCCCAGCTGTCTCCCGGTGCAAACACTGCCCTTCTGTTCTCCCTGATTGATCTGAGGAGTGTAACGACCTGATGACGTCAATGTTCACCCATAGGCCTGTGTATTGTTTCTCTAGAAGCCATGGGAGTGAGTTCAGTTCCAGACCTGAAGGGTAACTAGGGGCCATCGGCTCGGTGATGGGGGGTTAGGGGAATGGAGGGTGGGGTGTCTCACCAGGCTCTATCCGACCAATAAGCCTGGTCTTTTTTAAAATGATTTTGAGTTTTGCTCCACATTGTTCTCCCACTCCATCCAGGATCTCCTGCACTGATCCCTTTTAGAGGTGTCATTCCTTTACAGTTGTAGAGCCTGGGGCAAGGTGGGTGAGAGGTTTCAGGGCCTCAGGTGGTAGACCAGCACCGAACCCAAGCAGGCCCCGGGAAGCACATTTCTCGATGAGGGGAGAGCGAGAGGAACGCAGGCGTCGCGAACGCGTGAGCCCCAATCGGGTGTCCCGCCCCGTTCTAGCTTTTGGGATCCAGGGGTGAATGAAGTCGAGAACAGGTGCCGGCTCTCAGCTCCATCCCGCGGGAGAAAGACAACAGGTGTGCGTGATTTCGCAGAGGGCCAAGCACCCTGCAAGAATAAAAGGGGTGGGGGCACGGGAGGAGACGCTTTTAGGGGTCGGCATGTCTAGGGCCCCAAGCCCGGAGTTTGAAGACCGACCCTGTGCGTGAACGTGCTGTGGGACGCGCCTTCAGAGCGGCGCTTCCTCTGCAAAGCGCTCGGGTTCCACTTCCCAGTTGAAAAGACGGCGGCGAGCCTGGAAGAGATGGGCTTCCGGCGCGCGTTCTAAAGCGCGAGCGCCGTCCGCGCGCTCCACTGAGCCTGCGCCGCATCCCCCTCGGGGGGGCGGGGTCCTCCGGGGGGTGGGGCTTGGGGCACAGGGGGCGGGACGAGCTTCCTGGCCCCGCCCCCTCTACCCGGCTCGGGGCCTTCGGCCGCCGCGGGCGGTTGGTTGCCCGACGGAACCTTCGCGCGGCGAGCGTGGGCGCGTGAGGAAGGCCGAGCGGCGCGCTTAGGCCCGCTAACGTGGGCGTCGGGGCTGCAGGCGGCGCGGCGCCCGACTCCGGCCCGGGTGCGCGCGCAGCCCGTTCCCGCAGGCCTCCCTGTCAGCCCCGCCCAGCGCCAGGGGCGCCCGGCCGCCTCGAGACCCGGAGACGCAGTCCGCTGCGCTGGAGGAGGTGACGGGAGCGCGAGCTCCGACCAGCGTCTCGGCGGCGCGGCAGGTGAGAGGCTGGCTCGGGTGAGGACCAGGGTCCCCGCCCCGAGAGACCCTCAGGAGCCGCCCACACCCTCCTCAGGCCCCGGACACTCTGGCATCCCCCGCTACCTCAGGGCCCCGACGTCTCTCGGCTTCCAAGACCCCCTCTCAACATTCCCTGGCGAACCCAGCCCCCGAAGCCCCCTCAGGGTCCGCCCCGGCCCCTCCAGCACCCCCGGCTCCTGAGACCAAACCTCTCGGCCACTTCTGGGCCTTAGCTGCCCTTAGGACCCACGGACCCCTAATCCTTCAGGATTTCCCCTGCACTCGGAGACCGTTCCTGAGGACCGCGGCCACCTCAGGGCCCTGCCATCCCTCTGGGCTGTTGGTTCCCGAAACCCGGGTTCCTTTAGGGCCCGGGGACCGGTCTCCATCCCTCCCCTCCCCCACCCGGCCCCAGACCTCCGAATCCCTGTGACCCCCAGGCCCCGCCGAACCCCGCCCCCAGCCCAGGGCCCCGGGCTCCCTGGACCCCGGCCACCCTCCTGGGTGCAGACCCTCGCTCCCAGCGCTGCTTAGCCCCTGGGCCTCGCCACCCTCCAGCTCCTGGGTGCTGCCTCTGGGCACAGCCTCGTTCGGCTTCCTGGCCACCGGGGGCAGGGCTGCTCAAACTTGAGGTCCAGGGCCCTGTGGGGCGTCCCTGAAAATATTCCTGGGGTTTGTGAAGCTTTGTCTTGCGTCCTTGTCTCCTTGGGCAAGGCCACCGTTATGGGGGGCGGGGTGGTTCGAGGAAACCCATCTCGTCCCCAGCAAGGAACTGGTGATGGGCTCTGTGTTGGGGTCTGGCAATTAGAGAAGTGTTCTGTTAGAGTTGGGCACCCACTCAGGGTGCCCCCGGCCCGTCGGAACTGGAGCGTTGTGATCTGTAGGGTTGGCATTGGCTGATTTGTGAATTCTTAATGGTGCAAAAGAAGAAGTGGGAGCCTCTGGCGGTTCACCTGTAGAGCCGAGCGCATGGCATTTCCGCGTCCGCATTTGGAGCCGCGTTCACGGTGGCACTGAGGCCAAGGAAGGGACAGCGTTTAACTTCCAGTGCTCCTCGTTGAGGCTCGTTGGCCCCAGAGGAGAGTCTAGAGAGAGTGCGAACGGCATTCTGATGGAATGGTGGGAGCAGAACCAAGCAGCTGGAAGGATTAGGGCAAATCAGGGTGCCTTTGGGTTGTCTCTGGGTCATAGTCTTTTTTATTCATGGAGCAAACAGCTCTTTGAATGTCTGATAGGTCCCAGGCATTGGCACGGAGGTAACGATGACCCAGTCCCTGCTTGCGGGGCCAGCCTAGGTGGAGGGACCGATTAGACAAGTAGGTGGTGATGATGGCATTGAACCCAGCTGGGTGGGGGCTAGATTCACAGGAAGGGGATTCTTCCATTCTTAAGAGGAGAGGGTGTGACAGTAACAGGTGAGTTGATTTCAAAGGCTGAAGTTGTGGAAAGGCGGAGCGGAGTGCCAGATGGGAGCGGGGCTCCGTCCTGGAGGTGTGTTGCCTGTCATTGAAGTCAAGCCCAGCTTTCCCGTGTTGTTGTTGGAGGGACCCTTCCGTGGGGAGAAGCCAGCCTGCTCCCTGAGGCCTGCCGGGCCTGGCGCTCACTAGATGTCTTGCTCCACCCCAGGCCCTGAGCGGGATGACACAGCTGAGCCTGAAGGCCAGTGCAGTGGGCCAGCAGAGAAGAGCAAGGGCAGTGCCCCACAGAGGACACAGTAGGGGAGCTCTGGGAGGCTGGAGCAGAGCACAGGGGTCTGAGAGGGGAGGGCAGGAAAGGAGGCTGGGGGGCGAGTCGGGACCAGGTGGGGCGTTGGAGGCTGGGTGGGAGAGGGAGGCCGTTGAAAGGTTGCAGCAGGGAGAAAATGGCTTGTGTGGTTTTGAGCCGTCGTTCTGGCTGCAGTAGGGAGGATTGTTCAGGGGAAGCATGACCACGGAGTGCTGAAGGTAACCTGGACCCTGGGAGTGGCACTGGGGGCTGGCTTCCTCAAGCTTCCTGATTAGACTCCAAAGCCTGGTTTTCTGGCACTTTCCTGGCTGAGCCTACAGTTTTCTTCCTGGAGATTGACTTTGGGAGCTTTGTACTCCCTTTGGGAAAGGTCATGTCCTTGGCCGCACAGGGTCACCTTTGGCCTTCATCAGGGTTGAACCTAACATCCACTCAGAAGATGCCCTTGCCGCACAGCGGGCAGGAAGAACGGGCTGGTTCTCAGAGATGGGTCATGAGCACCAAGGGTTGGGATGCTGGTTTGGGTGCCCGGAGGAGACGAGTTCAGATGTATTGCATCAGAAATGTCACTCTGGAGACTGTGGAATTAGAGGGGCTGACCCCAGAAGTTGTGTGGCGTTCAGTTGTCTAGACGAGGAATTGTGAGGACTTCAAGGCAGTGGCAGAGGCTATGGACTAGAGGGGGATCTAGGAAGAAAAATCGACCGGACTTTTGTTGGTTGAAGTCTGGAGTTGCGTGAGGGAGAGGGAGACCGGATGGCTCTGTGCAGTGGGCCTTTCTGCGACGGGGCTGCTGTTCTCTCTCCGTGCTGTCCAGCACACGAGCCACACGGGGCTGCGGAGCGCTTGGAATGTGAGTCAGCTGACTGAGGAACGGCAGTTGGAGTTTTAGTTAATTAAACCCATCACACACACAGTCTGGTCCAGGCTTGGTTCTTCTAAGTGCTTCCACCAACCCTGTGTGGTGTATATATTGTCCCTGTTTTACAGATTCAGGAAACGGAGCTTCAGGGAGAGTGTGTGACCTGCTCAGGTATGCATTAGTACTACCAGGACTTTAACTTCTAAGTTAACTTAGAACTCAGTTCAGAGTTATCTTAGAGGTCAGTGGGCTCTTTCTGCTCCACGCTGCTTCCCTCTTCTCCTAAGGAGCCTGAAGCTTCTCCACTGCACTAGTCATCCACTCCTCTAGTCAGGCATCTTTGCCCTTGTAGAGCCCTCATTATATGGAAGGTAACCAGGACAGCTGTGCCATAAGCATAGACCTGGGGCGCACTGTTTGGAGCTGGTTGTTTTGCCTAAGGCTTCTCCTTCTAGTCTGGTGGCATAGTGCCTAAAGCATTTGACTGCTAACCAGGAGGTTGGTGGTACAAATCCACCAGCCACTCTGCGGAAGGAAGACTTGGCAATCCCGTGAAGATTTATTGCCTCAGAAACCTGAAGGGGGTCGCTGTGAGTCCGATTCAACTTGACGACAGTGAGTTTGGTTTGGTTTGGTTGGTCTCTTTCCTGATGGCCGCCATTTCTCTTCTTAGACTTTCTAGAGAATGAATGAAGGAAGAGAGCAGGTGAAACTGCAGGTCAGCCAGACTGTGGCTTGCGATTGTGAAGGGGGCTAAATGGATGGCCAAGAGGGTGTTTTGGGATCACAGCTGACCGGGCGGTGCCTGTAGAGTGGAAAGAGTGTGGGACATGAGCCAGGAGTTGATGTGGCTGCCCCTAAGGCAGTGGGAACCTTGCCCAAATCCCTTTGCCTCTCAGGGTCTCCATTTTAGTGTCTGTAAAACTGAAGTGCTTGGAACTGCATGGTCTTTAAGGTCCTCCATTCTAAAATCCTCCAAGCTTAAGCTCTGTGAGAAGTGTGCCTTCTAGAATATCTCTCGCTCCTCTTTGGGCGGACAGACTCTGGTAGTCAGCGTGCCTTGGGTCTCATTTTGGTGTTTCACCATTATTGATTCATCACTAAGTAACACTGACCTACCTGGTGACGTGGCTTAGGCTGTAGTATTTCCATGTCTCCTTGAGTTATGTGACATGTTACATCTGATGGACAAACATTAAACAGTGGAAGCTTTAACGAGTGGCAGGTTTCCCAGTAAATGTCAGGTGTGTTTGCCATTCTGAGCAGTGTTGACGTTAGGAGAACCGTGCAAAACTATGTCCGGTGGAGGCTGGGGTTTTGAGAGGGTCAGTGTCAGGCCTCGGCCAGGTGTGTCTTGCCCTCTAGGTGGGAAATGAGAGTAATAGTGTCCCTGTCATGATGTCAGTGAGAGAATGAGACAAAACGAAGCATCGTGCTTCTCACATTTTTCCTCAAGTACGGTAAAGGCTCAAAAAGTGGCAGTCAGTACTGTTGTTTGAACTAAAATGTCCCTTTTAAATTGATTAGTGGTGGGCTTGGTGTCTTCTTCATTTGGGCGGCTGTTGGCGGTAGTTTTGAGCATGGCAGAACAAGCACTTTTTTTTTGTGATTTGTTTTAACTGATTGTTAATTACCACGTGTTCATATTAAGGTTTTGTATTTTCTGTAAACTGAAGAATTCGTCCTGAAGATCCCTTACTGGTAATGGCTGAGATGAAGCTTTGCCAGAATCGGTTAAACTGATAGGTCCTTGTGTGCCTGGGAGGACTGGTGTTGAATTTAACGCCTGCTGGTTCTGAGGGACACCGTGGCTGTTATAACAGACACTTGGCAGTTAGGCATCTCACTTAAGGTGTTGGCAGTAATCCAGTCAATTACCATTTGACAGACTGGGAAACTGAGGCTCAGAGAGCTCTTGTGGCTGGCTATGTGGCAGCGTTTCCTTGACTCCAGGTCCTTGTTTAGTGGTGCCCCCAGTGGAGCTGTTGAGGTTTGGGGCCCAAGCCTCTCCTTTGCGTTTCTAGAAGCTTCATTTTTGTCCTTTTGTGCCCTGTTTGCAGCTCAGGTGAGCTAAATCATGATAATCAAACTTGAGCGAAACATATGCAAGGCCAAACTCACTGCCTGCGAGTCAGTTCTAACTCAGAGTGACCCTGTAGGACAGAGTAGAACTGTCCCTTAGGCTTCCCAAGGCTGTATTCTTCATGGAAGCAGACTGCCACATCTTTCTCCTGTGGACTGGTTGGTGGGCTCGAACCACCAATCTTGTATTTAGCAGCTGAGCGCTTAGTCAGGGCTCCCTCATCTAAAACCAGCCCCCTCATGTGGGATGAGAACTCTGCCTGTCAGATTACTTGAAAACTTACTGTTGTTGCCAGATTGCCACCGAGAGT